CTTTGCAACATCTCTACTAACAATTGGTCCAGTTATCAACGCTATTTTCAAGTTCTGAACAACTCGACTTTCAAGATCTACATATCTAGATGTGCTGATGTGATGTTTCCATTTATCAACATTACATTTTAAGATCTGTGCAAAAACTCAGCTAACAGATGTTTCCGCTTACTGAATACTGTTAGTTTACAGTTCAGTTACACAATTCCATTATTTTTATATACCTATGGCTTTTAATAATTTAAAAAACAACTTAAGAAATCAACTATACTTCTCTTTTCTGATATAAGTTGGACAACATTACATTAAAATCAAACATTATTAAAATAATAAAATACAAAGTACATCTTTAGATAAAAGTTACAAAAAAGCAACTTTTATATACACGTATATTTTCACATCAAACAGTTCTTGAACTACTAGCCCTGATGGCAGGACACTAACTGAAACAAGTTGTTTTTTATTATTATTATCTGGAAAAAAAGGTAGTTTTTTTTATAACTACACCATGTACAGATTTTGCACAAAATGTCATATGTACTTTTACATAAGTGAATCATTTCATTGAAATTGGGGCACATTTTGTTATGCTTAAAATCTTGACAACTATTGGTTGTAGATTTCTCTAAACCAATCGCAACATGAGAGTCTTATCGATCTTTCTATAATCCAAACATAATAAAAAAAATTTTCATTGTGGCATTGTTAAAAATGTTCAAGTACCTCCAGTATACACTACAAATTCTGAAAAACAATAAAATTACATCATTCAGTATTGATACACAGTACATTGTGTGTAAAATAATCATTATTGAAATCTAGCATGGGTTAGGTTTTAATTTCTAAAGCTTTATTGTACCATCTGTAGTGCAACAAGTATTGAGTACAGTGAACTTTTCATGAAAAGAACTATATATATTTTGTGATAAATGTTACAAGGTATATTTTCTCATTAAAAAAGATTAAATCAAGGAAATACATATTTTAAATGAATATAATAAAATCAGGTTCACTGAAACCTATGTTAAAAGTCCAGCCCTTTTGACCAAAGATTTTAGGTCTCACGTGACGGGTAGACTTTTTGCAACAATTTTATTTGATTTAATTGGTTTAGATTTATTTTAACTATTTATACATTCAACTTAAAACATCTACAATGACAGTGTATTGTTTCAAAGATAATTTTAAATTTTGCTTGTGGTCACGAATGAGTAGAGGCTAACACTTAACATGTGGAACTTACTGTAATAAAATAAAAGTACAGATCATTGTAGGCCTTCTTGAACTATCAAGGTTTTGGTACTATTACACGGAACAAATCATGATAGTGTTTAGACTTCATATTCCTGAACAAGACTGTATGCTCAGGCAAGTATTAAACAATAACCAAATCTATTTCTGACAATGAAATTGAACAGAATTTCTTGATCTATCATGTTCACTGCCCCTAGGCAGTGGCAATTAGCAAACTTAAAGTCCAAGAGATAGATGTGCTAAAAAATTACCCCCCCCCCACTAAAACATGGTTTAAGTTTGTAGATATAAATTTAGCACTTATACTTACTTCTGTTTTCAACCACGAGTTATTTGCAACAAGATCTTCCCAACTTGTGTCTTCTTTAACAGTAGCATATTGACACTTGACAGCACTTCCTCCACTATTAAGAAATCTGTTCAGTAGCTCTTTTCCCGTAGCTTCATAAATGGCCTTGGCAGACATTTTAAACTTGCAGATCTAAGCACTCCTATCACAAAATACTATAAAAGAAAAAAAAAGATTTCTTTACCATTTGTTTATGTTAATGATACTAATTTTAGTATTCTAATTTGTCCATGTACCTCACTCTTAAATGCATGTTTTAATTATATGTAATAATCCAGCCAGAGTTTATTGTATGGTTTTATCTGAACACAGTGTATAAAAATAATTTTATTTTGACATTTTAACAGTAACTCAGCTCTTGTACTGTTTAACTTGCCTCTAACAAGTTTTTCCTTTCAGTACTTGCATGCTTCTGATACATTTTACAACTTAAACTTTTATTATATCTGTCATACACACATCGCTGGTTGTTGTTAAATACAAAGCCACACATTGGGCTCTCTGTGCACCACAGGTATTGAAACCCAACTTTTAGTGTTGTAAGCCTGCAGACTTACCACTGAGAAGCTTTAGTATGGAATAATAAAGTTAGTTATATATCACTAACTGGAAAACAGTGATTCAAGATTGTTGCAGTAAATACTAAGATAATTATTTTATCTACAAACTTTTTTTTATACCTAAAAACCTGAAAAAAGAAGATTTGATAATCAAATGTATAATACAAACTTGGAAATAAAAACAAAGAATAGATTGAAACAAAAAACTTATTATTAATTAACTAATACATAATTGCAAGTAATCGTTATCATGTAGTTAGGATGGTTTTAACGACAACCGACGTTACCGTCAGTTGCTCTTTCCGCATGTGCCAAAACACGTGTAAATGCTACCAAGCGTCACCATGAAGAGTTAAAAGTACTCAACCCGAACAATATCAAGAAATTAAAAGTTATCATTAACAGAAATAAGGAAAAATAGCATATTCTGCTATAAATACATCCAGATCACACTTAATATTACCAACTGCAAATTACACTTATATACAAACACACATATAGTCTAATGTAGTAAGTACATAAGGGGCAACAGCAAAATCACTTTTGCTATCATAACATTGCAATTCACCTACATCGCCACGTTTATCCCAATACTGGCAATAGTGCTTTCATCTAATAGCCATGAAAGACCCACTACGTCAGATAAACACGAAAAATTATTCGGACAAATATCTAGAAAAATACACACACTTAGCCTGATTTATACAATTTATGATAATTTCTCGTGTTGTGTTAGAACTTTGTTACAACTCTCTTACTACGTGCACTATCGGGCACAATCTCGCACAGTGGCAACAGCAAAATCCGCGACGACTTAGGCACACACGATCACGGCTATACTCAGAAAGTTTATACAAGAAAACGTCCGCGAACATTAGCCACAAAAACTTACTTGATTTAAAGTAATACGCATTTCCAGCCGTTGACATACCCAATATTTATCTGAGTAAAAGGATTAATACATATTCGCGATCATTCGGCATCTAATTAACAAGAATGTCATACCTGTAGACCACCTGCACATAAATTTAGAAACTTACCTGACGATATATTCTAAGTTAGTTATTAGAGCACATGGTCGTTCTATAAAAATGTAGTTATAGATATATTTGGATCTTTTTCCAATAAATTGTTCTATAAATCCATATTGAACCAAAAAGTCTGACAAATTGGCACTATCACATTTAAGAACATTTTATGATAAATCTTAATACCTTACGCGGATTATTCGCCGAAATTAGATACACATGCACATGTACAAAACCAGGTTATATTATTTCTTACCTTTAAACGAGAGAAACTTACTAATCCGAAAATTAAAGTAAACACTCGCGCTCGCACACACACATATATATATATATAAATCAATAAATATAAAAATTAAAGTAGATAGTGTCTTACAATTAGGACAGTAAAATAATGCAAAATATTCTTCTACAGTTACATATAAAACTGTCCAAATAGAAATAAAAGAAAAAGGAACACTATAAACTTAAATCTGTGAAAGTTCAATACATGTTAACGGAATCAAATTCAAAACGCAACCGTACTTATTACTGTGAGAATAAAGCAAAGGGGTTAAACAGAGCTATATGATGTATAAACAAATATATATAAAATGGAAGAGCATTAAAATAATATAGTACTTGATAGCGATAAATACGTGAAAAATAGTCCATTGTGCTTTCTCTCGTTAAAACAAACCCTACATCGATAAATAACAGCTACTGAGACTATTTGCCGCTGTCCCTAATTCGAACTGCCGACCAAAGAGAAGGAAACCGGTCGAAGTAACAGTTTTAAAGTGGCTAAGAGTCCCAACATACAATTGTATTCATTAATTCAGGTTATGAGTTTTAAATAGCCATCACAACCGTCTTTTTTTGGGGCATAAATGAGCACACCCAGAAATTTCATTATCATATCCTACATCCAAAAGCTTAAAAAAAAATTAAACATTATATATATATATATA